TACAAAATATATATTTTACGTTACAATTTGTTAAATTGGTTTATATAGCCTGACCTTTATAAACTGCTAAGTTAATTTTATATCAATATCGTGACTTATCCATAAAAAGAAAGAAAAATCATTTGTCCGAGTACATTTGTCCGGAACTGTATACTTCTTTATAATTTATATTTACAAACCCAATCAGCCAAGTCTGCTTCGATCAAATACATACATATAAAATGTTTGGTAGTGTACTTTACGAGGAAATTTATGTGAATTTGGTGCCAAGGCTCCAGTAAAAGGAAACTCTGCTTGATATTTGGCACCAGATGCCAAACAATGGGAAATCTTTGCAGAACTTGTAGCGAAACATACCGTTTGAAGAGGGCAGGTCGGTTGCATTTATGTGGCAGATGTAATTTGGCCTGTATTTTGCATGGACAAGACGTTGATGCTAAATACGTATGATATGCAACAATAGATGGCTTGATATTTGACACAAATGCGTACTGTCAAATTCATAAGAAATTCAGGACATCTATTCGCGTCTTTTAACTCACACACAATGAAAAAAACATTTTTATTCATTCACGAGACATGAGATAAATATTAGCAAATTTTCAATTTAAATTATTCATCAGTGAGTTATTATGGAGTGCGATAAAGAATTTATCATATATCTATAACAGTATGTAATCTTCTAGTTTTAATATAACTTACAAAAATTAAAAAATTTTTACGGAATTACACTCTTACCAAAAGTAGGTCTTGCGATCGGTACGAGTGAAGAGTCACGTCACACCGTCTCATGAACTCTTATATTAGTAATTATTCGGAAATAGTCCATCATTCGGAACAACCTTCCTCCAGCAGTCGAGAAACATACAATCATAAAATAATTGTACGTGCAACCACCGATCGGATTCAATTACCTAAAACTAAATTGGTGGTCAATTTATTAGCGATACGGGATTCAACACGTCCAGAAGAGTGCATTGTCTGAACAAGTGGCATTATACATATGTTGTAGCACACTGCTAAACAAAATTAAGATAAATTACGCAAATAAGATGCAATTTTGCCAATCTATAGTTACAGACGAGATATTAGCATAGATAATTATTTTTGATAGCGATGTTATTAATCTTTTCGTATTCTTCAGAAATTGCGGTGCCCATGCAATCGGCTGAATTTCTTTTTAAATTATATAAGTATATAAAAGAATAAATACATTACTTAAATTCTAATGTTTTGTGTTTAAGCCCGAATACATTTGGAAAAATGATTTCGATAAGTAACCTTTATGTAATTATGTAAAATTCCCAGCTTAAAATGAAAAAACTAAAACTTTTATTTATTATAATTTTTTATTATATTTGTTTTTATATAACTTCTATTTTAACAAGTTTTTATATTTTTTTGACGATTTTTCTAAAAATAAATACAACCAAGGAACAAATTACATATGTATGTATGTGTTCTACAACTGTGCAGATTTTATATTGATATAATAATTATGATATCCTTTTTTTAATAATATAATTAATCAAGTTAATTACATTACATTATTACAATGCTTAGAATTAATTATGAATAAAGAAAGAGTAAAAAGTGAAAATATGCATAAACATATTTTTCGCTTATAAAAAGTAAGTAAAGAAAAACTGAAAAATGTATCGACAAATTTGGACTTGGAATTGTATCATTAATGCTTGTGCTATTTCGAAGAATAACAAAATGTATGATAATTAAATGTGGTTAATCAAATGGCATATTTTTTTACGAACGTCTGACGTAATAAATCAGTAAATCGTCTTAAAGATGACTAATCTAGGATATACATACACATAAATAGCATGTACATAGTGTGAAAAATGATTCAGAAAATTAATGCGACTTACTTAGATGACTTAGTTACGTAGAATTAGACAACAGTTCTGTAGTCATTTTAGACATTATTTTTACTGTTATTTTTTCCTACGTTTAGATATCTCACATAGATGGAGCATTAAAGAGAATACGGGAATGTTGCCCGAATCTGGTGTACGTGAGTCTGTTAGGTAATCCAGGATGTCCTGATCAATTGACCAATCCAACCACAGAGGAAGCAGATTACAACCGATACAGATTATACGCTATATATTTGTTGCCTTCGAGTTTACGATTTCTCGATTCACGTCCAGTAACACGTGAAGAGAAAATCGATGCGGAAATTCGTGGCAAATACTCGAAAACTGTGAAATTTGGCCCTGAATTGTCGCCAAAATTCGTATCAAACTCAATCGATGAGATCGATGATATATTTTTCAACATACATTACACTCCTCTTCCAACATCGATTCGAGATCCCGATGACCATAAAGGTATCAGTTTTAATTATGTTTAATTAAACAGGTTTCGAAGTATGTAATCATTGATTTATTATAAAAATGTGCTAAATGTTTCCTTAGAAGGATTTTTAAGAAGAAATGAAGAGATCGTGACTTTTACCCTTACAAATAAAAATTTGGGTAAAATAAAAAAGGATTTAGTATGTAGAGTATTTACTTACCAACTTTGCCAATATTGTTGGACTTTCCCAACCTTGCGAATCAGGATTATTTTCCTGCAACAATTTATAAAAAAGCTTTAAGTTTACATGTAACGTTATTAAATTTTTAGAAATAAATAAATAATTGTTTATTTGTAATAAATCGTTCACTATCGTAACCAATTTTATTCGAAACTTACCAAGTCATGTTAAGTGATATAATATAAGGTTCTTTTTAAATATAGCACAACCATTGAAAGGTCAATTTACAGATTTCTGGTAGCTAAAATGTTGATTTCTGGCTGTCTAAAAATGTCAGACATGAATAAATATTATATATCACAAATCATATTTTTTTCAGGTGCTTTTGGAAAATGTAAATATCGATACTCTGGCAAAAATTCCGAAGGAAATCGATTTATCTCCAACAACGATCTTTGAACGTGAGCCTAACGAGTCAAAAGCTACCTTCGTAAGTAAGTTACCGTCGTGTGTTTCTAATAAATCATAAAAACAGCAGTTAGGAATGTGTAGAGTGACTACCATGTAAAGCTGTAGCACAAATTGTATCTTATTTTTATATGTAGTATACGATATATTCAGCTCCGATCTACGTGCCTGATCTCGCGTGTGTTTGACTTATTACTTTATAATCGTTCGTTACGTTTTTATACATTGTTATTCTTTTTGTATGATATAATATACGTATGTACTTACATATTAAAGCATAATTCAAAATAAATAAACGTATAAAATTTTTATTATCATGTACAACGATGTATGAGACATATTGTAAGTAGGCATTTAATTCTATGTATTTCCTAACATATCTTAAAGGAGCGTCACACATTGTTCCAAGCGTTTGGTGTTTGGAAACAGAGATGGGCAGATGCGCAACTTGAATTTTTACACATTATGGTTCGTGTACGCGAATTTATATAGAAAAATTTCGGTAAAATCTGTCTACAAACATCTCTGATATTGTTTAGTTCGATTTAGGCAGTTGCTCATATTTATAATTGTATCCCGTTACTGCACTCAATAAAACTACCTCCAATATTATCCGGAAGCTAAGTCGTCCAATGATGCGTTTGAAACGCTGGATGCAAAATCTAAGCAGTAAAAGGGATGCTTATAAGTAATAGTGGGCCGCAATGTGTTAACAGGCTTCCTCTCCTTGCTATTGACTTTTACTGTTAATTTAGTGTTATATTGGTCCTTAATGCACGAAGAACAATCTCTGGCTTTCGTTGACCGCGTCCACTGAACAGATAATTAACCTCACATTGAATGCACGTTTCAAAGTATCCTAATGTGTAGCCACACGTTCCAACTCGTCGTGTAAACATCTCGCGTGAACGTGCATCGAAGGCAGTTTGTAGTTTCGATTTTGTTAACCCTGTATTTGGAATGAATTTTACAGTTTAAACGCCAAGAAGGTAGACGTTCCTCTCGATTGTATAGACATAGATAGCAATCTTTGGATCTGTTTGGGCCCCCATTCGACTGTTTTTGTTAAATACATTTTGGATTATGTGCTCGATTGAGTTACGTTGATTTTCTTATCGAATCCGACACGAGTAATTAACTGGCAGCTCAGAAAAGTTATTATGAACCATGAAATTAATTGGATCTCTTGAATATCTTAGTCAAAATAAATCCAAATGAGAGTGTGATTATATCATATAATTATGCGTTATCGCCAAATACTAAAGACTTGACCAACTGCGTGATTGGTGAAGTATAAAATACCAAATTCGTTAAGTACATCAACTTTCTGATTCACTTTATACAAAATGCTCGAATACTCGAATTACAAAGATTCCTCGTGCATCAGTGTTTTACATCTGATTCGTCTACTTGTGAAAAATACAGGCAGTGCTCGATTACGTTCAATCCTGAAGAATTAGATACTTAGCGAAATTGAATTTGGAAGTGTAGGAATTTAAGTATGAAACAGTTTAGTAGCAAGATTTACAAATTTCCTATTGTATTACATTTGCTTTACTAATTCATGAGGAAAGTCTCAAGTTTTAAGAGAATTACTTGTATCATTGCCTGGAGAATGTAATTATTTATAATTTACAAAGTATGTGTGTTCTCGTTTATCAGAGAGAAATTTTTAGACCATTGCTAACAACTTTTTTATTATATCAAAAAATATAAGGCTTAGTATCACTTTTCTACCTTGTCAAAATGTCAAATTAGTGACAATTACATAGAAAAATAAAACCATAAATCGAACAATAGTTTTTCAGCCATTTCAAAGATAAATACAGCTGACGTGTAAATACCGGATATCGACGAGAAAGGTTTAACAGAGTGAACAAACCAATTACGATCCTTTTATGTAGTTGAATCGGAAAGTGAAACATTCAATGACTATATACAAGGTAATGAAAATCACTTAATCATTGTTTGTTGTATTTATATGTTTGTATTTTTGAAATTATTAAAAATGGTTTTCACTGATCTTACTTCAAAACTGAGAACTGCCTGTACATAAGACACCGATCTCTTCAGAGTTCCAGCATTGACAGAAGCTTGTTCCGAGCTCTGTTGCTACCATACTCTTATTAATCCTACCAGAATGTATAAATATAACATTTATATGGATACATGGTTAAGTACTGGGAATTGGTCATATTTAATTTCTTAAATATACCATTCCATTCACTTGGCAATGTTCGACGCAAGAAAAAATGTTCAGAGTATTGTACAACACTGGAAGCATCTTTCTCTCCAAGAAAGGAAAGTGTCCACAATGGCCACCACGTTCCAAATGTTACATCTTCTTTCATGTTCATTAACCATGTTCCACTCCCTTTCTGTATTGTATTCGATTTAAATCATTTAAATTTAATAAACATCTCTACCTCTGTTCCATAAATAATAGTATACATAGACAGAGTTGGTAGATGACAAACATGCACACAAATAGGAACGGAACAAGGAAATAAAAATAAAAAGAAAGAAAGAAGAATAAAACATACACAGTGAATTATCTAATATTTCATACTAAAAGCTTTTTGTTATTTTTAATGATGCAAAAAATGGTCAAGAAGTTAATTTATATTAATATCTAAGGTTATAGCAAGAACAACATATTTTATATGGTTGAAATTTCTGAGAACATTACCTTGAGAAAAAATATTTATTTCAATATTTGCATCTTTGAAAAAAACGTAGTTTTCCCTAGACATTTTCCTAAGTCAATAAAAAACAACTGACATATTTTAAGTTTGAAAGTCAGGTGATTCACTTTGCAAACTAACCCTGGAAACAAATATTGTTAAACGCATTATTTGAGCGTGTATTAGAAGTGGAAAGTAGTATTTTAAATGTATAAAGAATATTTCAGAAAAATATCAATGAAATGTTTTACCAAAAATGAAATAATAAATTCTCAATCACATTTTTTACATTGAAGATATGAATAATTACAACGATAGACATTTGATCCGTTTGATCGAATAATTTTTGCCAGGGAGAGTAGTACTGTAGAAACGAAAATCAATCGTCATATTGTCAATCCTTGAGAAGTGAATATTTGGAACGCAGTGGCATTAATTACCTCTTCCCATCTTTTCTGTTTTTCGTGATTAATACACGCTTGGCCACGAAGAATGCTCATGTACCGTAAATACTCGATTGGTCATCTCGTCTCACGGTTGGACGGATGCCCATGAAGAATTGTCTCGCAATCGTCTACTATCATCAAACTTATCGGAGGAGGACGAAGTAAGTGTACCTGCGTTGCCTTCAACATATTGCACGATTCTGCGCGTCAACCTCAACGTTCATCGAAATCGATCGTTCTTTATCTAATTAGCGTTCTCGTACTTTGCAGAAATGGGACATAGACACCGAGGGTAGAATAAGTAATTAGAGAACGATACGAAAGAACGTGAAAGACACGAAGTAATAATAAGTATTACAGGTCGTTAAAAAGAATCATTCAGTACTTATGCGGTACAGGACAGATCATACTAAATGAAAGAATCTTAGATAACAAACTTTTTTTTATGCAAGGTGATTCACCTAAGTGTACCACGAAAATTACTAGTAAACCATTTGTTACAAACCTGCAAATAAAAGATGGATGATACCAAGTAAGGAACACGGGACAATTTAATTCTTTATGTTGCTTCTATGTTTATCAAATTTTTTGTTGCTCAATATAATGTGTTCCATGTACCATATAAGTACTAGATATGTGTCTTTAATACTCTGTATATCGTGTAGCTCTTCACATAAAGAAACTTAAAACGTGAGAACAAGACACTTATGAAATAAGAACTACAGTAGAACTAGTACGGTTTACGATATCATGTACAAATTAAACTCGACGTGAACGTAAAACACTAACTGAAAAATTAAGATTCGATCGTATTCGTAAATTTAAATTAGGTAAGTACCTGGCGGCAGTGCGCCAATATTGGTAACGATCGTGTTGCGAAATGTTATCGTCAACGGCGGACGATCATTAGAAATTTCAGACTGTGTCCTGGACAGGATACGATGCTCCCAAAAGGCACTAATTTCCATTCTCCGAGAATCACATTTCGATCTATTCACCGTTTGCCGCATTAATACAGGCCACGTATGTACAGTTCGGTTAGCCTAGGCCGAATCGTTTGTAATTCCATTGATACGCGAATCATACTGTCGCTGAAACATGGTGGAAATCATCGAGGTGTCTAAGTGCCGTTGTTCTTCCCATGGTTGTGCAGATTTGGCCTTAGTGTGACAGCACCCTCTACCCAGAAATTGGGTCTCTCGATCATGCTTTGCCATAGCGAAAGCTCGCGACCAGTGGCGTCCATCCAATCTACCGGCTTTCCATAATGTTTCCCTAAAAATTGCATTTACATCATTTAAACATTTTCAGTAACAATTATTTGTTAACAAATAATTTTCTTTATTAAAATGATTGATTTTGTAGATTGTTATACATTAAGTTAATTACTTTTACTGATATTTGAAACATTGTTCAAAATGCAATATAGGGTGACTCAATTACTAATGGTCCTGAAATGCCTTTGATTGTTAAATTTCGTACCTGTTCCTAGATTAAATCGTACTCCGCCCAAAAATTCATTGCTAGCGATACGATCGTGATCCCAGACTGTCAATTCCAGGCCTCGTTCTGCCAGTTCCTGTAGACTCACGTCTTTATAAATAAAAGTGTGACCCCATACTGGTGAACCACCAGATCTGCGAACCACTCCAGTCTTTTGTTTTCCTGAACGACCCTTGTCAGGTAGTAAGTAACTGAAAAAAGTGATAATCAATTTGTAGAAAAAGAATTAAATTAAGAACATTTAGAGAGAACCATTATTACTTTCATTATCCATTGTCAAGAATTTTCTTGCGTAGTATAATTTTTGTATGTTAAGAAAATGTGTTGAATTGAAGAACTAAATACCTTTTACAAAATGGATCACACGTGCCAGAATTCTTTCCTCTAGTTTGCAGGTTTCTCGCTTCTTTCACGAGCACGTGCAACGCTCCTCGGCTCCAATTTTTCTTCCACTTCGAAGCAGTTCGATCTGATCCGATTTCTCGTTCACGATCCTGTTGCGTGGGATCCGGTGGCACAAATTTCAGACCGACGATCACCTCACCTTTGTACGCGATAGGGTCGTCGAATGGTTCCGTCTAAAATTCAATTTAATATTTGAATTTGATGCACTTTAGCAATGCACGGGGAATAGAGTTATCCGAATTAATGCTTATTAAGATGATGAAGGACTTACTCTCTCTTGAAGCGGGTACCACTTCGGGGTAGGATCGTCGAAGATTTTATTCTCCAAGGGCATTCGCACTTCTCCAAGGAAATCGTTGCGTCCAAACATGTCCGAATGCCAAACTGTCAGCCATAGTGTCCTGGTCTCCAGACCGCTCAGACTCATATGAAACTGAAATGTTATTGTGATATTAGTTGCAATGTACTTTAAACGATATTACAATTTACTTGAAACGACAGGTAAATGTGAATATCGACTACAAGTTTACCTTTAGTGTTTCGTTGAATTCCGGATTCAATGTGTGCTTTTTCACTTTGGTCTTCCGCTTGCCGCTCTTCGATTTGTCCGGCAATAGATAGACTTTCACATACCTGATGAAAAAGCTCGGTTCTCATTGTCACTCGTGAACGGGTTTGGATAACGATTATTATTGAATGATACAGTGGGATGATTTAGAACCATAGATACAAAAATGTTGTCATTCATGTGTTTAAACTATTTTGAAGTAATTAAAATATTTTTATAATAGTTACTTTTGTTTATTGTATAGTTCGTCTCACTTTTTTCATTTCTATTTTATTTTGGGTTTTTATATAGTAATATTGTAAAAATTCATTTGGATTTTGCTAATGTTGAAGAATGTAGAAATAGAAAGAGTACATAATATTCTATCTTGGCCGACTATGGGTCATCATGCAGATTCTAATGTTGGTATATAAACTCAGTGAAATTAAAAGTTCTACACAAAATGAAAATGGCTATAATAATTACTATTAAACGATTTTTAAAGATTTTTATACGCTCTAAACTCTTAAATAATTGTTAAATATATTTGGCTATGCTCATGCATTTTTTAAAAACATTTACATATACAGAATGTACTACAGTATTTGTTCCGCACTGTACCTTCAAGAAAAAAGTGTACTAACGTGTAGATTGCTCCTATAAATTGGCAGTAACTATTTATAGAGTGACAAGATAATTAGTAATTTGAAAGACACAGACCAATGATATGTTATAGTTTGTATTCCGAAGGTTTCTTTTTCTTTTCCTCTGTAGTTGCGCAGTACTTTTCATCAGTTTGTTCTTATTTCAATCAGTCACTGATCTTTTTTAAAAAAAAAAAACGTTATGAAAATTTTGAACGAATTTCGTTTCAAAATGATTATTATGAAATTCTTTGTTAAAGAACAATATTAAAAATAAGTTGCAGCCTGCTTCAGGTGTTTCCTTCCGAAATACAGATTATAACGAACTGCATAACAGTACGATTACTGATTTTCCAAACTGTGATTGTTTTTTGCGTAACAAAATGTATTCTACGTCTAATATTAATTTACTAACATAACTTCATAGAAACCATACGCACACTTCGATTGTGAGTAAAAATTGTTAAAAATTTCAAAAAGAGAATAACACAGTAATTCTATTATTTCTAAACGAAATTTTCGGAATTTATCTGTGAAAGTACAAATTTGCATGAACATTTATTAACCAGTAATAACTTAACGATAAGAATTATGTATTACTGCAAAAGACAAACAAACGAAGAGTGTATATGCAGATTTTTTTTTGTACATTCTGAACACTTAATATTCTAATAGGATGTTAAGAGCGAAATTTTTCTTTTCGTTTATGAAAAAATATCGTTCTTTTTGCAGAACCCTGTAGTTCTACTCTTCAGAAATATTTCTGTAAAATCTTTAGCCAGAATTCATAATATTTTCGAAGTTATTGTTTACTGGAAAATATACTCAATGAAAATATTTCCATGTACACCACATCCCATTATTGAAAATGGGAAAAGAAGTTGATATTTTTCATTGTAAGAGGAAGACATGCGTATCTTAGTCCGAAATAGAAACTATTTCGCCGTACGGGGAGGCAACGTGTTGAAATAAGTTGTCAGTTTACTTACGGATCGGATCGTTTGCGTTTCACATCAACGGGAGCAAGATTCTTGCATTTTGTTACATGCACCTCAAACGTTAGGTGTTTGTAATCATATTGCAACGCGAATTCGACTTCCCCGGTGACAGCTACTGAGCGACAGCACCGGCCTTCTCCAGCACCGCTGTAAACCGACGCCATTGAATCCGAGCGTGCCTGACAAATAAATAAAGAAATTTTAAACAAGAATATTAAACTAGAAATATTAAATTCTACGTATTCTAAGAACATTTGTATGCACGCAGCTTCCAAAAGCAGACGAAGTAAATTTTAAATGGTGGACTCTATACGAAAAAATACAACATGAAAACCAAGAGTTAACAAAATTGCGATTTCAGGCTACGTTCTTGTGTCATTGACACTTACAAGCCTCTCTGTACTTTGAAAATCCATCAATAACGACAGTCCTGAGTCAAGTTGGTTCAAACACTGGCAATGGCGGGTCATGCGAGAGATAGACGCTTATCTCGGAGCTGTGATCTGGTGCTCCAATGGCATTATTTAAAAAATTCATAGATGACTCACGGTAGCGAGTCTGTTCATTTGTTGGTATACGTAATGGCACAGTGAACTCCGGTACGACTAAAAAGAGCGATTGTCTTTTCTGACACGCAAATTTGTTCTCAAAATGCACGCCCACGTACAACAATGTACGTGACCGTGAAAGTTTTTACGCAATACGCTTGTCCCGTTACCGAGCGTCTAATAAATCGCGTACGCACACCGATTATTTTATGCAGCAGTGTCCATGTTCCGTGCGATTGTTCTGCATTGTCTTTTATTTCCTACCGAGTATTTATTTCATGTCTAAATAAATAATGAACAATAGTTTGAACCTCTTGCAATAACATACTAAAATACCACTTTAATTTTACCGATGCAGTTCTAAGAACAAATTCCTCGAGAAGTAATGTTTCCCTGGTTTGGAAAATTAGAAATAAAACTTTTAAGCGACAGATTCTTTAGCGAAAACGTAAATCATCATTTCGCTATCATCGAGTTATGTTTTATTTATCGTGTTGTATAACACATGTGCTTATAAGAGTCATCAACAGTTTTTGCTAGAATATCTCTTCTATGCAAATGTGCGAAATGGAGGCTTTATTTTATTGTTATTTCGATTAGATCTTAAATCGGACAGATGATATCTACTTTAGTATATGATTTAATTGATTGTACATACCCCAAGACTAGATAAGGACCCTCGGGTAGCAAGATGACCTGAATGCAATCCCTGATCCATGTCATCTACGTCCATCACTGGATTTGAGCCTGTTCTAGATCCTGCGCCGATGATGGGTGTGCTGCATGCTTCCGACAAGCTGCTACCATCATCTATAGTAACGTAATTAAATATTCCGAGTTAGTCCTCGATCATTTCTGTAATCATATTAATTTTAATAGACGGTTCCTTAAGATAGCGTTCTCCTTCGTTAATTATAATCTCATAAAATGTTTATGTTTTTGCATATCAATTATTTTTAGACTTAAATTGCATCTGGCAGGTAGCTAATTGGATCTGCTTTCTTTCAAGTTTAGATTTTGGATTAACCTGCTAAGCAGGGAAGACTTCATTTCTCTTTAGTGTAGTCAATATTGGGAATTAAATTTGTATCATACTAATTCAGTCTCATACCAGGTCTTTGTACAAATTCGGAATTGAAAATGGATAAGTTAACAAGCTAAAACTGAAAATTTCAATATTTTAAGTCTACACCTGATAGCCACACACACTTGATAAGAAAACCAGGCTAGACTAAAATCAGACCAGTGCGCCCCAATAGATAAGTCCGAGACACATTCGGAATGAAAAAGTAAATACAAGTCTAACTAAATGTAGAATCGTAATTTTTTCCCAAACAACAAACTAAATTAATTTTACTGTTACTGTCTTTCGGATCTCCCATTCATGTTTTCGTTTCATTAATAATGCTACGAATCTGTACTATTTTTTGGCCTAGCCACAGTTTCAATATTGAAGAAACGATTTTGCACCTGAAAAAAAGCATAAATGATTGAATACTAATATTCACGTTCTTGACTTCTTAATTCCTTGCTTTGCGATCATCTACACATCCAGAATGATTGCTTTCTGACGAAACTAATTGTCATATTTTTGTTTATAAGTCACGCTACATATTGTATTTTTATTTTTAAGCATTAGTCTTCAATTCGGTACATTCGTTTATGTATAGTTACTTTTTACATTCTTATTATATGCTATATATCTATATCTCAATTTGTTATTAAAAAACTTCGTATTTCTTCTGTGCGTGAATCTACTTCAATGTTTAGATATTAATCACAAATGAACAACATTCAAATTTCACGGAGCATCTTCAAATCCTCATCGCCTGTCTGACTGGACACTATGACATGGGGTTAAAATTGTTTCAGGAGTTATAAACCACCCGAAAATCGCAACGGGACGAAACGCACCAAATCTGCCAGCATAGTTTCACGTAGAAAAATCTCATGGGGAAGTTTAATCGTGAAGACAAAGTTCAACCAACTTGTTCTGTTTCCACAATAGTTCATCGAGCCGGCTCCTCTCGATTTCCTGATCGAGCGCTTGGGGAATACGTCCGTAAGCGGAGAAGGCCACGAATGTTGCTTCATCTTTTTCATCTTACACTTCGGGAAGATCTCTTCGAGCGATGGGGATTTCTGATTTCCTTCGGATGCCTGTCTCCAATCGCCATTACTTCCTCGTCTCGCTTTAGAATTCACCGAGTCAACCGGCACGAGTCTCGACGAGGTTCTCCGCTCTTTAGGGTCGTAGTCGATGGAGGAGAGTATGTTTTCCTTGAGTTTCCTCGAGTCTGCAAATTTCAACTGATCCGCGATATCGAAACTCGTGTCTGACTTCGTTAGAACTTCGTTCTTCGTTAACGAGTCGTCGGACCTTGTTCTGTGCAACTCTATCTGTTCCTTCTCTTCAGGATCAGCGATCTTCTCCCTTGAGAAAGCGACGTTCTGGAACTCGCGAGTGCGATGCAGTGGGTAGCAAGAGAGGCAACAACTAGGTAACCATCTCATGGTAAAGTGCCCTGGCATTTTCTTTATGGCGTACCGATTCTTTCCGAGTCACATTGTCAATCGTAATATTATTATGTAATTGTGTTTAAATCGTTCGAATCCTTCGACACGTATATTCGATCGAATAAAAGTCAGTTTAAATTATTGCCGGAACGTAGAATAATTATGCTGCGATGTTCACGATCCACTTTGATAACGTATTTTAATCACAGTTCCTGTTTCACACAGTAACTGTTTGAGTCAAGCCACGGATCTTTATGCGAATTATAACAGAGATTTGAAGAATTCTTCCGAAGAATTTGAATAGGTGGAGAACAACATATCTACATCGCAGACATCGTAGAATTAAGAACAAAATAAATAAAAACGTGTGTAAAATAAAACTGCAAACTTCAGATGAATTTAAGAACGTTGTTATATCAGTCTAAACTTAGCGAAAGAAGTACATTTTATCTACCGTTTCCCACAGTTGACATGAAAAGTTTTTATTCTGCACGAAGATCCAATGTATAAAACGATAGTTATTGGTGACACTTCCGCGGTCTACTTGTGATTGATCGGATATGAAATCTGTCGCAGATTTTACGTTCACTAGTCGAAGAACATGCGGACGCTGCCGAAAGTATGCGAACCCAGAAAGAACGTTCTTTATACTGACGAGCTCGTTTGTTCCATGCAAGTTTCTGATAATCTGTCAAGTGGAATGAGGGTTACGATAAAGTTGATTTTGATTGACCTTCTGTCATCCGGTGCTCATTGTGGGAGGACTTTCGTGTTCAAGATTCTGCAGCTGCGGAACTGCGATACGGGATGATATTGCAGCTATGAATAGAACTTACTTGGTGACACATTTCTTTTTGTTAATATTTTTTCATTGGAAATATCCGTCGGCGATGCTTTTGATTTACATTCAATTTTTGGTCCACCATTAATCGGAGTCAGTTGTTTATTCGCTGATACAGAAAGATTGGTTTTTATCTGTCAGAATGTTCGTTTTACATTCTCATAATCCAGAGTAGATTGGTATCTACGAAGAATTTTATTTTTTTTATTTAATTTTATTAATAAGAATTTTATTTTTAAATTAATTACACACCACAATTATATGAAGATTCGCAGTC